TCCAGTTTTTTAAGCTTATATTTTGCATGGCAAAAAATGCAGAATTAATAAGTATAATATATTTTTCAGTTAGACTCAATCGCCGCTAATAAACAAATTAGAGTTCGTATGCTTTGGCAATAGGTAGGGGTGGGAAGTTACCGTTACGTTACCAAGTAACTAGTAACTCGCAAGTTACTAGTTACCGAGTAACTAGTAACGTCGGAGTTACCAGTTACCCGGTAACTAGTAACTTCGGAGTTACTAGTTACTTTTGGTAGGTAACTTGTCTAAAAAGTGGAGATATCGCTTCCTAATGAGTGAATACTATCATTACAGTACTTATTCAGCTCACGAGTTACCGAGTAACTAGTAACGCACATAGGAGTTACTAGTTACCAAGTAACTCGTAATTTAATTGAGTGATGAATAGATGATATTCAGTCATTAGGAAGCGATATCTCGACTTTTTAGACAAGTTACCTACCAAAAGTAACTAGTAACTTCGAAGTTACTAGTTACCTGGTAACTTTTAACTCCGGCGTTACTAGTTACTCGGTAACTAGTAACTTTTGAGTTACTAGTTACCCGGTAACGTAACTCCCGGGTAACGGTAACTTCCCACCCCTAGCAATAGGTTGCATCTCATATTTCTAACCAATGATTGCATCTGAAATGCATCGGTCAGATGGACTTGGTGGGCTAGAAATAGGGCCAGAAGCGCATTTGTATTCTAGACAACATGGTAACACGGATGTCTTGGAGGAAGACATTTTTTTGTCGTTGTGTTCAGAACATGTAAAACAATTACTATGGTTACCATAAATTTGACAAACATGGTTATGAAATTTAATTCTATCACAGAAAACTCAATACATACTTGTTTTTCTAACTTCTTGGTAGAATAGCGGTAGGAAAAAAATTGTGCGCCTTCTTATTTTGCTCTACAATGAAAAAAACACGCAGGTGAGTGTTGATGCTTCATATCATATCAATGGCTTTTTTCGCTTCATATTTTTATCGATCGAATGGTAATAATATTCTGGAAGTCACAGAGTCTCTTATTAATCATGAATAAAACAAACAAATCGATACTCTTGGTAATCATATAATAAAAGGTGAAAGGTTTGTTTTCGTCACGAGAAAATGTCCATATATTCTGTTGCACTTGAGTTGTGCTGTAGCTCAGCACATTGTGAATGTACCATGAGCATCTTATGAGGATGAATGGGAATTTGTATGTCAAAGAATGGAGGTATCACACAAAATATTTCAGCGAAGAAGAATGAATTATGATGTAACAATAGCATGAAAGTTTCAGGTCATTTTTAGTCCTTGCATTTCGTATATCTGATAGACGACATCAGTCACGAATTCGAAGCCTATGTCAAATTTTGCTCTACCCATTCAGGTCTATTTGCTTTGAAAGTTTCAAAACTTTTCATTGAGCTGTCCTTGGGAAATTTTGAAAGGGAGTATTATTTATATGGTCGCCCTGCTATGATGAACCATGGTCATTTTTCTTGACAGTATTTACAATAGAGATACTTTTACTGTAGAGTTTCAATCAATGATAATCAATGTAGTCAATGCAACAAAAAATTGAATAGATGGAGAAAACAATTGACCAAATATTAACTAATATGAATAATATTTCTCATAATATAGAGTTCTAAGTGAATTATCATGTAAATAAATTATATTTGTCAGTCATTTAATCGGTATCTTCAATAAACTTTCTTTGGCACAATTTGCTTAGTAATCGCCAAGCTTTTTGACAATTATCCGTTTTCATATACGGTACAAATCCAAAATCGGCATACATATTTATTGCTCTCCAGCTCGTTGTTTGTGATCCAAGGTAACATTTGTTGGCATATTCAGCCACTTTGTGCAATATCGTAGATACCATTGGTTTAGCCAGTTTTTTTCCTTGATATTCTGGTATAATTGATACCCAATCAAGACTTCCATATTCATGTCCATCAATCTCATAGAATCCTGCAGCTGCTGTCCCAATATATTTTCCATCGGCATTTACCAGAAAATGAATACGTTCAGACAGTGGCTTTTTATGTTCAGTCTTTGTGAAGAATTTGTCAAACGTCTCGAGACTTTTCTCAATCGATATGAATTCTCCTGCAGCCATGGCTATTTCAGCCCATTTTTTCTTGTCATTGACATCGTCTTTATATAACTGTAGAGAATAACCTGGTGGTAGCGGATAAGTCGGTATCGAATCCATATTTGGTCGGCACATGAAAACTGTAAAATATTCTATTTCATCAGTCGATTGATGAAGATAATTGTCGGTCATGATTCCGAGAATAAAAGAGTGAAATAGTCACCTAGAACAAAAGAAATTACTGTTTGCATCTATCATAACAGCTTACATCATGTGACGCTTGCTATGGAAAGAAAAGAAAGAAAACGTTGCCTTGTAACAGCAAAATATTCGTAACATTTATTTGATAAGAATTTGAATGAATCATCAAAATATTCTCGTTAGATGGATTTTGTCACGAAGAAACCAATAGTAATGTTGCTTGTTACTTGCATTCCTCCGTCTCATAGTCACGAATTCATTTGGATATTGGTCGATTTTATCCTGTTATCCTCTGTTGAATCGTTTTGACAACGGCAAAAGAGTTATTCTTGCTTTTATTGGACGGACATCTAAGTATGGATGAAGAGAACATTCTCATTTATCTATCCGTCGAACCACACTCATATTCGCACCGCACATCTATACTCTCTTGTAGATAATTGAATTGTGTGTTCTTTAAACAAAAAAAGATTAAGGATTGATGATGAGTCTTGACTGCAATAGTCTGAACATAGGTAGAGAAGAATTAATTCTGATGCATCTATTAGTGCTCCATCATAATCGTTGTCATTCGTTCCTAGGCGCAACTATGAAACTGACGATTTTTTGGTTGCCACAGCGACAATTATCAAAATGGCGACATGGTAAATATGAAGACCATTCATTCAAAAAAAACAATAGTCAAGCCATCTATAGCACAGTATTATTAGTATTTGCGTCAAATGTTGGCGAATCGAATGGAATGTGACTGAGTAAAGTCATCTGTTTAGTAATATATATCAATGAATTACTTTCACGAACGGTCCATATCGAATTTTCACTTATTTCAAAAAAACATAAAATGATAACTCACTTTTAATATTGTACTCTACATAGATATTAATTTTGTCTATTGATGAATGTTTAAATAATTTATATGCAACGTTTAGTCAATAGCCAATTTTTCTGTTGCCAAAAAGAAAAGGCGAATTGCTGTGTGTGTTTATTCAAAGGAATGCCGCCCTAAGAAGTATTATCAATCATATTGATGAAACAAAAACATGCATGAGCAAAGATATAAGCTAAAATATTCTTTCCTTATATAAGAAAATTCGAGTATCTAACAAATGATTTTTGAAAAAGAGACTGATTGCGAAATGAATCAGAACAGTGTTGTGTTTTTACTAGTTAAGATTAACTATAAATAAAGCGAGTTACACATGCATGTATAGTAGGTCCGAAATAACCAACTGTCAATATGTGTAATATGAGAGTAGGTACCACGTTGCTGTGAAAACGTTTCAAGTCCAAGAATTTTATAGGAGACAAACGTTGATAGAAATCTAGAAGCGATACTCTTTTAAGCAATAGTCCATTGGTATCATTACATCTAAATGATGTAGTGTACGATAATTATTCTATAAATAATTGAATATTAAGATTGTAATTATTGACGAATAGTTTTATTTTTCTTTATAAATACTTCAACGAAAACCAAAGAATTACAAAAGAATTGCAAAACGTAGATAAAAATCTCTTGAATAAATTGTCTTTATCAAGTATCAACTGAAACTTATCAATCGATACTCTCAAAAACGCTTTTTTTATGTTTAGTTCATTCAATAAAATCAATTGATAGCAAAAACATTTCAGCGAATCTTTATGAAAATCTATTTAAAAATTTGATTGATATGAAAAGACTAATACACTTTTAAACTCGTGATTGTCTTTTGAAATCTTTTTTAGATACATGTTACAATTTCCTGCTTTTTACAATGCTTGTATTGACTATCAATTAATATCCTACATAAACAAACTTTCTCGACTAACTGCTCCTGTAAGTAGAGGCGTAAACCGATGCATAGATCGACGATAGTAGATGAATATAGTGTTACTTTTTTCATTTGGCAGCGGTAGTAGCAATAAAAATTTTTGGACGGTTTTTTAAAAGTTTTTTTTTTCTCCAAGAGCTTTTCCACTGAAAAAAAGAAAATAGTGATAGAGAACTGACCAAAAAAATAGACAAAGATTGTTCTCGAAAAATGATCTAGGGATCATAAATTGGTATAGTTGTACTTCTGTTTTTTACTCTGACAGCAATGATTCAGTCAATTGACTTACCCTTTTAAATAAAAAACTTTCTAAATTCCTATTTCTGTTGCATTTATACATTTCAGTGAAAACACCACTATTATACACTACTTTCTTGTGACATAACAATGCATACATTTTGACATGACTTCAACTTATAATACAATTGCGAGACAAAGTATAATGGAGTAATTATATAAAAACAGCAAGCTATTATACATACTTATCTTTATGCATATATAAATAAAATAAAAAAATGTTGGGATCACCGTAACTTAGGGTCGTTCCTATTGCTATCTTTCTATTCTCAAAATTTTTACGCAAATTCTCCTTACCATTCCCACAGGAAATGGAACGAAAGAAAAAACTTTCCTGCAGAACACTATTATTAAAAAGCACATGTTGAATTGAATGACTCAGCAATTCTTTGCTCTTTCCTGTCGTAAAAATGCTTTGTTAACGACCAACAGAAAAGAAAAAATAAATATGGCCTAGGCAACATATTTTGTTATTATTGCACAATCTTTTTTTCTTGGTAAGTCGATAGGATGTATTCTCTAAAAAACAAAAAAAAATAGTTTTATGACAACTAATAATATAAAATTGCATAGATAAAATATTGATCATGTCACGAGTACTGACATTTAAAGATTATCATTCATTAATCAATCTTCAACCAACGCCATTTAAATATACAGATAAAAATTTGAATTATGCCGCTCTTGTCCGTCATCTTGCTGAATATTTTAGTGGACCTAGCAACTCTCTTTCTCGTCAGTCCGTCGAAGATCAAAGAGCTTTTATCCGTCATGTACTTACTATTCGCGATCCCACACCAAATCATCGTTATTCGTCTCAAATTTACGATTTAATCGATCGAATGCTTACCTATGAAAGAGATTGTATGAAAACTCTTACGCAAGCTACTACATTATCTATGCAATTTACATCATTTCCTTATATTCGAGTTTGGCGAGGTGACATAACTACTCTTATTATTGATGCCATTGTCAATGCAGGAAATAGTAATCTCCTTGGTTGTTTTCAACCAACACATATATGCATTGATAATGTTATTCATGCAGCTGCTGGTCCACGTTTAAGAGATGATTGTTATACAATTATGGAAAAACAACAACGACCAGAACCAGTTGGTCATGCAAAAATTACTATCGGTTATAATCTTCCTTCGAAATACGTTTTGCATACTGTTGGTCCTCAATTACATCATGATACTCGTATAGCACAAGACGATGTTCGAGAATTAGCTTCTTGTTATGAAGCATGTTTAAATTTAGCAGCAGAAATAGATACAATAACGTCTATAGCATTTTGTTGTATTTCAACGGGATTGTTTGCTTTTCCTGCTGATCATGCATGTCGTATTGCAATTCAAACAGTAATAAATTGGTTTCGAAAACAAAAATCAAATACAAAATTGTCTCTAATTGTATTTGATGTGTTTACTCTAGAAGATGAACAACGATATGTCAATGAACTGAAAAATTTTTTGTAATCCAAGAAAAAGAATTTAATAAGTGTAAATCCAATTGAAATGTTTTTATTTTTATTGATAAAGAAAATGATCGCCAATAATTGGCCGGTGCAAAAAATTGTTAAGAAACTTGTACTAAAAACAATACGGAAGTTTTTTTTTAACGAAAGTCTTCAAATTAGATGAATAAGCTAAACTAATACAAAAAAAAACAAGGCACTATTAGCAAGAATTTCTTTTCAACATTAAAACTATTAGATTCAGAAATTTAAATGAAGCAATATCAGAATAGTATATATCGGTGTCATATGATTACACACTAAAAGCTAACATGTCATGTAAAAAACAATGAACCAAAAGTTGATTATTAAGTGCAAAAATTCGATTGGAATATCTGATTAAGTAGTCCTACGTGGACCATTTAGGATATTTTACAGTAGTAAAGTATGCAGTACTCCTACAAAGTGAAATTCTTTATTTTGGAAAACAATGAAAAATCTGAATTAAACCTGTGTAATGTAATCCCGTACCGTACGCTAGAGTATTGTAGAGTTAAGATGATGAAAATATACGTTACGGTGAGAGAGCAAGGACACGTTTTAGATAGTATACGAACAAAGCTTACCCAAGACATCTCTAACCTGAAAAAATAATAATTATTTTTACTTTTTGTGCCGTTTAAATATAATAATCTGTTGAAAAATGATAAGCGTCAACTCTTTTTTGTACATCTTACTATAAAAAAAAATGAGAAAAATTACGCATCATCGCTAAACTGAGGTTCTTTTATTATATATTTGTTATGGTCCAAATTAGGATTCTAAGTCCACTAGACGAAATTAGAATGATTTTTCAATGAATGAAAAAAAGATAAAGAAAGACGTTATTAAAGTACCAACAACTATTTTATTTTACAATTTTTTAACAAATATTATATAAATCCTAAATTAAGTCAATCTATATTTGAAGATGCACCTCTTTTTGAATGACATTTGGTAGAGTAGAACACATTTGCTTTTCTTACATGAACAAATTCTATTTGCACATTTATCACGACAGTTATATGTGTGTCCAGTTGTGAAACCACGAGAATAAGACTTTGACTCTTCAATAAGAGTGATAGTTTTTAAAATTATCAAGATCCATTTGTTTCAATTCATTGAGACAAGCGTCTTTCAAATTCACAAACTGTCCAACTTCAAATGCATTCTCCATAACATCATATTGACATATTAATTTACGTAAACAACGATCATTTGTTTTTCAGTTTTTTCAATAAAATATTATTGAGATTGTACCTGTTTTCATTCATTGATAAATTATTTCAATTTCGTCTAGTCCAAATTAGAATTCTAATTTTGTCTGGACGAATTCTGAATTGGACTGAATTCTAATTTGGATCATAATATATTCAATTGGATAGTGTTGATCTTTTCGATAATGTCCGTGTGACTATGTTTTCCTTTCCTAAATTGAATGTTTACAATTTATTTAAATGATTTCATATATAAATCGAGAGACAGGTGTCAAAGAATCATTATGTGTTTTTCGTCATCAATATTTTTCTTAAAGGTAAATGTGTTCTGTAGAATGATTTTCTTTGCAGTTGCGCAATTATTATTTAAATTTCACATATGAATCATACTTTGTATAACCTTTTAAGGTAAAATACGAGCAAACCAGACTATTCGACAAATCCATATTAGGAATAATAAAACAAAATTACACTTTCATTTTATCGTCCATATATAGATATACAGAAATCGAATCAATACGTTATATGTAGTATAATGTCGAGCGAAAATGAGAAACAGACTGAATCAGCACCAACCTGCGGTATATGTGAAGAAATTATTACAGATGATGATACTAAATTAATATGTACACATGAACCATGTGGTAAAATAACATGTTTATCATGTATTAAAAAAATGATTGAAGTTATGTTCAGTCAACCAACTCTGAATTATCCATTTAAATGTGGTGCATGTTTACAAATAGTTGATGAAAGAATCATTCATGAAATTATTGTAAAACAAGGTCAATATGAAAAATATATTGCGTGTATATTTCCACTATATTGGACAAAAGATTGTCTTGAACAAAATGAAATCTTAGCACAATGTAAGGATTTAAAATAAAATAAAATTTTTTCAAAAATTTGTTTCATCCTTTCTTAAAGGTCCATTTTGTCCTTATTTTGAAATTTATACAATTGATGCATGTTCTCTTCACTTTTTTACATGTCAACATCCATCATGCGGTAAAAAATCATGTGTTATATGTCTACATGCTGTTGATGATAATAATAAATCAATACATCAATCACATTGTGTTGAACTTCATTCGTATAAAAAAATTATTGAAAAAGCAATTGAATCTGGATCACAACAACATTGTCCTTATTGTCAATTGACTGGTGTTAAAGATGATGGATGTACACATATGGTATGTCAACGATGTCAACGTAATTGGTGTTATTTATGTGGAATGAAAGAAAATGAGTGTAAAGTTAGAGATGATATTGAACCAAGTTTATCAGCACATAATGAAGATTGGGAATCCAATGAAGATCGTTGTCCCATGAGTCTAATTAGTATACATGAAATTGATATTCGATGGCCAGAAAATGATCAAGATTGTTTAGAATATTTTCATCGTTATCGAACAGTATCCCATTTATTTGATGTTCTTAAAATTATTGGTGAAGAGAAATTCGATAAAGTCAATCAATATTTTGGAATAATCGATGCTTCGGGTTATACAATTGAAGAGATAAAAGATTATGAAAATCGAATATTCATTGATTATACATCAAAAGGAAACAAATAGTTTTCTTAATTAATTCTTTAGTAATCTGTGAAAATAAAAAATGTAGTTTGTCTAATAAATTAGTATTCAAATGAAGATATTTCTCAGTTGATCTATGATATACATTCGAATTGTTTCAAACTGAATCCAGTTTAGCTTCTATTAATGTCGATGTGACAGTTAAAAATTGAATAGGTCGAGGTTAACAACTCTTAACGATCTTTGGTTTTGATTAATAGAAAGAAAGAAAGAAAGAAACAGAAGTCTCAATGGATCGGACTGAAGAAAGTCGACCTATGGATTATCGATCTGTGATACAACTCAATCAATGATTCTTTTTTCTTACCAAATGACTCATGGATGAGTCATTCATCTAATTGCATGAGATAAGTTTTTAATACATAAATAAGCAAATATATTTCGAGTACGAGTAGTTGATGTATAACCAAATGCTGAGTAACATATTAGACAATTTTTAAAATCTTCAATTCTTTTGAAGTCACCAGTATTTTCTGATTATTTTTTAGTTGGGAAACCAAAAGCTTTCCAACATAAAAATATATTTCCTTTTTCATTATTAATAATAGTATGTGTCGATAGTTATTATTTCAATAGAAATCTGATTTGTTTGGATGTTTCCCATTTCGTATGTGATGATGAACCAGTGTGGGTAATTGTAGAATAAGTGTTAACAAAAAATTAATAATTGAGAAGATTCAGTAATAATAGAATAAGAATTATAAAAAGTAACTAATCATGATGTTGGAATTGTTGATAAACGACAAGAGCTAGGCAAGGACATTTTCTTGTATATAAAGAAAGTTCTTTTTATTACAGGTGACAACCATTTTATCTTTTTCTTTGGTTTACTTCCGATATTTGCTGTTCATTGCAGAAATGTTTTAGTCAATGAAAGAATTACATGGGATTTTCGAAAGAAAAAATTGTGTAGCAATACGCAACGTCTTTTGAAAATTTTATATTTTATTCAAAGTTCGGTCTATGGACACCCATTGTAATATAGAATCAACCCGGCTCATCCAATGGTTTTCTATTCCAAAAAATTTTAGTCCATGGATTGAACTGAGGCGGTTCGAGTTCGATCTAGCTCATTGAGAGCTTTGGAAAGCAAAAGAGTCGCAAAAAGGAATCATATTTGAAAAAAATCGTTAGAATTCATCTATTATAGAATCATCTTTTGGTATTTTTATAAATGAATTACCAAAAGAATTGACTGTCTGTCAACAATAAACAAACTTCGTATAGTAATGTTTTCATATTTAACAGTTTAAATGTTAGTTCGATAAAGTTGGATAATTGTTTCATGAAGTATTTACATAGTAATTTATATATAAAAGCTAAAAACTAATTCCATACACTACGAAAATTCAAGTTGTTAAATCGAAAAGGATCCTATCTTTGATCCTGAAGATCTACTAAATTCTATCCTATTTTATATCCATTAGTATTTTTTTTTTGCTTCTTCTTTCTCTTATTGAAAATTGCTGATAGTCATAAGATAGCATTCTCGATTTATGCAATTTTTGAATTCAATACTTTTAGACCTAAGCACCAATGTAAAGATATATCAAACAAAAGACAACATTATTTGATATTCTTGAAATCAATATGTAAATGTCAGATGGATAATTTTCATCAAATATGATACATATTCTTAATATCTGTAATAGTTAAAATCTTTATATTTCATTTCGATCAACTGAGTAAAGATAAGAGCTAAAAAATAAGCCGTCTATTAATTTTAAGAGACTCATGTCATTGATGACGTAAAATCGTGTAGTTATGTTTCTAAATGCAAGCTTACATAATTTATAGAGGTGTATATTCAAAGATAAGATATTAAATACACTTTGGATGAAATCATTTTTAGATGTACGGAAGTCGTTGAATGAAAATGTGTAGCAATCAATTTTCGAAAGAAGAATACTTGTTGATGATAAAAAAAAAGAACAATAGTGTAAAACAAAATTCTGAAACATTTACCACGCCACGAATAGATAATGATGAAATTTTCTCCACTATAAAAACAAAGTAATGTGAATACTAAAAGAAACTTCTTTCGAAAGCATGAATTCTATAATGTACATTGACTTATTCATAGCACAAAAAAAAAAGCAAAATCATTTATGCGTACGATGATATCGGATCATACGGCTTTGATTTTAAAGCAGTATTCATATCTGAATCGACAAATGTTGCATAGATATCCGTTTGTAAATGTTTCTTGACGTGATTTTTATAAAAATCCTCAAATATCGTTCGATTCAATGGACCATAAATATCTCGTTGTGTACGATGTAATGCATAAAGCTTTTTGCTACTAAGTTTACCTTCAACGAATGGTAAAAGATCTTTCTGTGCTGATCGATCAGTCCAATAAGCTGTATATTCAAAAATAAGATGTTGAATACGTTTTTCATGAAATAATTTTTCAGCTGAACGAAGAACATTTAATTCAAATCCTTCAACATCAATTTTTAATAGAAGTATAGTCGATTGTGGTGGCCATTCTATATCATCAAGGCGAATTGTTGATATATGTAATGATCCCTCAGTTTCTTTTGTATCACCTGCATCTTGAAGAAATGTTAGTTGAGAGTTGGATGGTAAATTACTGACAGCTTTATTTATGACATGAACACGAGAAGAAGAAAAATTATTAACTAGAATTGATGTTTGAATAAGATCGACCATGTTTGGTTGTACTTCAAATAAATATACTTGACAACCGCATGCAGCTGCATATAATCCAAAATCACCTATCAATAAAAAGAAGCTTATTATTGTTCTATTTTTCGTTTAATTATATATATATATATATTAATATATGAAGATTACCGACGTATGCACCAACATCAACAACAATAAGTGATGGATCTTCTTTACAGGTTTTTATTAGTTGAAGATGTTCGACCACTGCTGCTTGTGCTCGATCACCATCTGCATAAGGTTTTTTACCATCAAGAGTTACAAGTTTGTAATAAGGCTTACGATCATTCATTTTTACTACTTTGTATACCAATGTTGGTGATTTAACAATGGTGGAAATAATTTGTGTAGAAGTGCTTGAAATATAATAATAAACAAATAGTATTCCAATGATTGATATCAATAAGATAATTCGTGCGCTTGACATGAATCTAAGTAATGATAGCGAAATGCAATCATTATATTTATACGATATAGGTTTCATATCGTGTAATTAAATGTTATTCTCATCAATAGATTGAAACAAAATTATGAGGGTAAGAATAATAAATATTAACACGATTCACGTATCTGAAAGATTATTTATTTTATTGTTGATTTTTATGTAAAAATTATCACATCTAAGAATATACCTGTTTATGTTTTCGGTTGAAAATGATGAAAAAAAACTCCACTCTCCTGCTTCGTTTAGATTTACGTCGTTTCTACATATTCTTTTTTATGTGTTGCAATCTATACATTCCTTTTCTACGCTTTTTTCAATGTCTTTTTCGATGGGTTCTATTCTCGATGTTCTTTTCTATACGTCTTTTTTATATCTCTTAGGGATGTCATGCTAGCACTATTTTTAATGCTAATACATATACTCAATGTAGCTTGTAGAAAGTTACTTCGATATACTCTCTCTAAAATTGCAGGTACTACAGACATCAATCACAACGCTATGGTAGCACCTGAGATGCTAAAGATATCAGCTACAATTTTATGTCAATCCTTAAGATGGCATCTATAGTGTTAGAGACAATACCTGGAATACTAGAGCAAAACGACAGATACCACCTTATATACTACCGACACCACATTAAATATCAGAGGTAGCATCTGGGATGTTCCAGACACCACCCACAATGATCGAGATAGCATGTTCAGGTAGCACTTAAACTGCAACAGATAGCATCTCTAATTAACCCCTGAAAAGTTATCGATAGTATGCCCAGTTAGCCTCTAACAACTTATTGGGAGTACATGTATTAGAATTTAATATAATGCTAATTTAATGCTAACACCTCAGTATTTTTTATCTCTAATACCGATAATTTTAAAGAATTAGTCTTAATGACCAGTGCTAATGCTAATTCTAATGCAACCCTCCTAATAAATCCTTTTGAGTACTATCACAGCATTAAATAAAGATAGACGTAACTGAGTAAACAGAGATGAATATGAATATGGACTCTTCAAGAGGTGCTACGCGTCTCTATGCCGCGATGCAGATTGTCAGAGGTCAGTTACCGTTGGCATTTTTTTCGTAATTTTCGGTATATTGAATGCAACATTTAAATTATATAGGTGTGGCCGATTTCGACGTTTCGACTGGATGCTTGACAAAGAATGTAAAGAAAAAAACGTGCACAGAATAGAAATATCATAATTATAGTATGATTTTATTTAAGATTTAGCTGGATTTTAGATTTTTCTCAGAAAAGGCTTGCTGTCTTTTTATGAGCGTTTTCCGAAGAAACTATAAAGCGAATTATACGTCTCTAATTGAAGGATTAGGTGTACGAATCAAAAATAGAAAAGAAAATAGACTTTGTTATATCATTAAAAATCTAACAAATCATATTCCAAAATTCAATTTAAATATTGTTAGACCATAAACATAAAATAAAATTTATCTTGTGTGTTTGTCACTCTTATTCTTCCTGTAGATAAGTCATTTTTTTTGTCATCATGTTTTGAGCAATGGAAATTTACTTTTGCGATATCTTTCTAAGTTTTTTTCTTCAAACACTATAAGTTTGTACAGTTGACATTTTTAGTGTGTATGCATCAATTTAACTATAACACATGTTCATTTTTATTTTATTTTTTGAATTTCATCAAACGCTATTTTTTTTAAAGAACAAAAACTTACGCACGTGGAGCTTATTCTAATTACTACAAAAAAACAAACAAATAAGTTTCTCTTATGATGAAGTTGTACGTAATATTTTTAGGAAAGAAAATCTTTTCCTCGTTAAATTATTTTTCTAAAACCCTCCGCGAAAGATAAAAGTCTTTCTAAGATTAAGTGTTTGAATCTTTTTCTTGAAATATGAATATACCTTCACATTTATATTAACAGAATTTATTTTTCACATGTCTGATAGAACTTATCTTAATAAAGAAAACCCAAGTTTCGAGCTCGATAATATTTTAACATATTACTTTTTTCCCGATAATAGAAACAACAAAACAAGTTACAAGAACAGCAGAATTATCTATCGACGGACAAAATAAACCAATACATTATCATATGAGCATGCAAGAAAAAGAAGAGAAAAACCGCATTCGATTTTTATCTAAGTGAGTGGAGAAAATGACAGCACATAGTGCCATATAGGTTACATCTGAGACACCATCGAGTTCTAAGAAAATGAAAAGTAAAAGACAGAACAAAAAGAAAAAGAAAAATACTAATGCATTATAATCAGATACTTCGTGTTTGATTGGTATGATGACAAACATAGTAGTGCATGAGAGAAAGGTTACTGTGACAACAGCTCCCAGGTCAAAAAATCTGACAGTAATTCTTGTACGATCATAGAAAATCGTACAAAAAATCGTAGTCTCTGAAATCTTACATCAATTCTTACTGTAAGATTCCTGTAAGATCTGGCAAGACAACAAGATCTGGCAAGACAACAAGATCTGTCAAGAATCTTACAATAAGAATTGATGTAAGATTTCAGAGCCTACGATTTTTTTGTACAATTCATACCAAATCGTACAAGATCATATACGATCAGACGCAGAATCTTGTCCGATCTTACTACCATGGACAAAATTAACGCAACACGTATTTGCGATAGATATTTTCATTAATGGTCAATCACGAAAAATAAAAGTTTTTCAGAAATTTTTTTTGTCTATAGAACTTTGTAGAGCTCGTTTCGCTGATCATTTTAGTAAAAATAAATATTCAAATTTACTCAATAAATAATGGCACTAGAGTCAAAATACTCAAAACTTAGGACTGTTCCTGACCACTGCTGAGTAGTAGGTGATATTTTTGAGTATTCTGAGCCAAGGTTCAGTTCATTATTTATCGAATAAACTTGAATATTTTTTTTACCAAAATAATCAGCGAAACGAGCTCTACAAAGTTCTATAGGCGAAAAAAATTTCTGAAGAAATTATATTTTTCGTCGCCGACCGTCAATTAATATATCTATCAAAAAAACGTGTTGTGTTAATTTTGTCCATGTGTTAGGGTCCTTTATTCGTTTTCTTTATTATTCTCATTCCTTTCTTTTCTAAACCAAACAAGCGAATGAATAAAAAAAAGCAGCGAAGAATGTAATTGTCTCTATTTCTCTTGTTCCACTCTTTATCGTTCGTTATCCATGATGAAGCAGTCATTGAGAAAGAAGAGTAAGAATGTCATTGATGTACAATGATGATATCATAAGAACGTGGAGTCTCCTTATGTCAGGAGAGACATCGCATGACATAACACCGTGGTAGTTAGTGTCCGATTGCTCGCCCTGGGAGTGAACTTGTCCCAAGAAAGAGAACGAATTCTCTTTATTTACTTTTCGTAATGAAAAAAGACACAATGTGATACTCTCACACATTGCAGTAGTGTCAAGCTTGAAATTTGAATTCAATTCTTGAACTATTATTCAACCTGTCCACTAATAAATTCAACTATTCAAGTATTCACTTCTAGATATACTTTAGACGAAATTTTACTGTTTTCTAGGACCACAGAATAAGAACTTATGAAAATACTTTTATGCATATTCTTCATGAAGATGAAATAAAATTCGATTCCCTATGATTTGGTTCTAACTATCGTCTGATTGTACTTTAATTGCACCAACTAGGATTGGGCATGATCAAGTTTTTTGTTCACTGTTACAATCATTCTTTCTAGTCTATCATGGGTGGCGATCTTTTGTCTTGAGCAATATTTATTGTGAAGAAAGTTGAATAACGAAAAAAAAACAAAAAATAAAAACGACGAGATTATTAATCGAGAAGAAGAAAACTATGATCTTAAAGTAACTCGAATTGGTTGAATGAAATAGTAACCTGTGCGCATGTTTTCGTTTAACTGTATCGTAACAAAATATGTACTTTCATTATGTGTTGTGCTCCGTTGTAATGTTTTCGTCACAGAAGAAATTCGAATTCAAGAAAATTTGAAAACTTCACCTAATCACCACTCTCAGTTTTAATTTATTCTATGAAAATTGAAAATTTGTCTGAATTGTAATTTCTTCTGTAACATTTATGTCTAGTTGTTTTAATTGAGAAAAAACGAATAAATGATTATAATAAACTGAGAATATGACATTATTTGTATTGTGATAAAACTAATGCAATCGACACAGATACAGAATATGTGATTATTTAAATACTCATGGTTATTTGTGATTGTGATTACGATAACCGTCAATGACGACGATCATGTCTGGCGTTAATACTAACATTTCATGGCATTCTCAACTGTTGCAAAGTGTACTGAATATTTTCTCTCGTATGTGTGTATTTTAGGAAATATTTAAAATTCAACTTTTCATTTCACTGGTATTCAAAAACTGAACTTAATCTTCAGCGTTGACATATGTCATAGCTTTTTCAATAAATTTCAAGCAAAAAAATACCATTAGAGAAACATTCACATAAATATATAGCGCTGTCCAATTTTTCGATATTAAGTAGTTGTCGACTGAGAATTTTGCAAGTTGGCTTTTCAGAAGATGTTATGGTCGTGAATGGGATTGATAGAGTTGATTTTTTACTGTTATTATTGAGAAGGTATGTCAAAGTATTGAGATTTTTCTGTCAAGACAGTAATTGGTTGATTTTTTTTCAGCATTTCTACGTGTTCTTTTCTTAATGACGATATTCTTTTAAGATTGGAAACACACTCAGGATTGTTTCAGAGTCATAACCGCAGTGAGAGAAAGAATATTGAAAAATGGGATTTAGAATTCCAGTCACTAAAAATTTTTTTCAGTGATTTTTCGGAACCAGAAAGCTTGACTCAGGAATGTACCATTTAAAGCTATACGAAAAAAG